AGAAGTAAAGAATTAGAATATAATTGTCCCCAAACACATCAGTAACCTAGTCATCTAGAGAAAGTGATTAATATTATTAATATTATGTTAAAAGTCCCTAGTCCCATCAAAGAAAACACAATAACCTTGAGGCCATGGTGTATCAGGAGAAATGATCAGTTTGATGAAATTCAAAAGCAATGATAGAACCTAATATTTGAAGTAGTGATCAGTATTTAAAAGAAAGAGAATGACAAGTAAAAATTATGAGCCATACTAAAGTACTTGAGGTTTTAAAAACCTCTTCAATAATGCAGTGTCTGATTGTGCCCTCAAAAATGTGTTTCCTCTGTCATCCTCCCCATTTCTGCTCACAACTCCTCCCTTGCAGGTGTTAAAAAGCCAAAACCCTTGGTCACAACCTGACCTGTTCTCCTTTCACTGCCTACTTTTCAAAGCTGTACCTTTAATATAGGTCCAGAAAGCCTTGGGTTCCAGCTCAAGATGGAGATTTAGGAAGATCCAGCACTTACTTCAAATGGACACACAAAAACTATTATTACACATAGTACAATTTCGTCTGAAAACTAAAACGGCTGCGACACAAACTCAGCACAAAGACCACCTCCTCCCCCTCCAGTCAACACACCCACTCTGACCCACAGTCAGGAGGGCTTAAGTATTTCTATATTAGGTCTTAAAGTTATGTCTTAATTTTTTTAAAGATTTATTTATTTATGCATACAGAACTGGGGTACAGGCCAGCGGCTCAGGGGCGGTGAGAGGCTTCACCAGAGACAGAGTGGGGAGCAGAACAGGCAGATCGAAGGAGTACACTGCTGAGGGGAGCAGCGGGCAGGCCAGGAGAGGTCTGCCACACCATGCGGTCTCCTCCGGGGCAGGCGGGAATCCAACTCATGCGGAAGTGGCTTTAGATTCTCAGTGCTGTGGTTTAACACGCTGCGCCACCAGGGAGGGCCAGTTATGTCTTAATTTTAAAATGAAATCAATGCATAGATTAAGTGTAACTGAAAAATCGCATCACTTCTCTATCCAAAACCATCGAATCTTATTCAGAATACAAAGCGAATTCATTGCAGCTTTTAAGACCCTAGATCTGTCCTCCTTTAAGTTCTTTCTTTTCATCTACCACTTCTCATGAACTGTTCCAGCAACACTGACGAATTTGGATTATTGAAACTATAATCTATTGAAACTATAAACTATGTTTCTGCCTCAGAACTTTAACAGTGTCTCTTCCTCCTGCTCTTCCCACAAAATAAGATAGGAATCACTCGCTTGCCTCAGGTTTTACTTCAGCATTAGCTTTATCTTCTACATAACCCCACCTTACACTGGCACTGCTCCTCTTCATGCTAATTTTCATTATCAAACATATTCTGCATCCTTCTTTTCACTAATTTTTTGCAGCTTCTGTATTTGTCGACAAGACAAGGTTTCTAAAGATTTCTTTATAGCTATATCACATGCACCGCAAAGAACATATGGCACTACTCACAAAATATTTGAACAAATGAGTACAATATAATGAAAGAGCTACGTAGTGCTTCCCACTGTAGTATCACTTGCATCTTTGGTGATAGCTCACTAAAATCCACTTCAGCGTAATTGTTAAAGAAGTGTATCTTTAATTCAAATGTCACTTTTATGAGAAGCAAAGGGTGAGGAAAATGAATGATTAGGGATGTACTTTTTAACATAGATAGGTATTAACATTTCCTTATAAAAAACACAAATTCGGCCCTCCCTGGTGGCGCAGCGGGTTAAAGCACAGCACTGAGAAGCTAAAGCCACTTCCGCATGAGTTCGATCCTCACCTGCCCCGGAGGTGACCACATGGCGTGACAGACCTCTCCTGGCCCTCCTGCTGCTCCCCTCAGCAGTGTACATCATCGATCTGCCTGTTCTGCTCCCCATCCTGTCTCTGATGAAGCCTCTCGCCACCCCTGAGCCTCTGGCCTGTACCCCAGTTCTGTATGCACAAATAAATAAATCTTAAAAAAAAACAAACAAAAAAAAAAACAAAAAAAACCCCACAAATTCAACTGAGTCCAGTAAATTATTGCCTCTAACACAAAAACAAAAAAACAAAAACAAAAACAAAAATGGAAGAGTGAGCATTTGATCCTTCTCTTCTGGAAAGCCTTTGCTCCTGCCACCTTCCTCCAAACCACTGAACCCTCATGGGAAGCTGGTTCACCTTCAGTTCCTTTCTTTACTCCATCTTTTCCACCCCCAAGCTTCATACACACTGTGTTTATCGCATTAAGGTGTGATTTACTTGCAAATATGTCTCACTTTCAGGAATAAACTACATAAGGGAAAGAATGTTAGTGATTGTGTAGCTAACACCAGGCATAAAGAAGTTTAATAAATGTCCACTTAATTGAATATGAGTGTATTAATGGTTGAACTTGAAGGCTTGAAAAGTTTCATAAAAGAGTTTGGTAAAATGGAAAGCATCAAAGAAATATTAAATAGTTATTGTGCTAATCTATGACATATTATGGCATATATATGAATTACTAGGAAGATTATACTTATAGATATAGTTAATGTAGTTATTTAAATTATGTATTTTTAAGACTTTCATTGACTATCTGAAACCCCAAAACATAACCCAAACATTCCCAGTTTTCTGATCAAAATTTTACTAGACTTAATAGTAAATAGTGAGAGTTAACAATTTTTAAAAGTATGTGATAGCAATTGCTTTAGAAAAAGCAATTGCAAAACTATGAGAAAACTTCAAACCACATTGTAACTGTGATGACTGAATTATGAGCTTGTACTTTGACATGATCCAGTAAGTGGTTCATATTTCAACATTGAAAATTGAAAGGTAAACCTAAAAAAAATAAAAGTTCCCACTGCTTCCATTTTGGTTCAGTCATTTATGGTAGCTTTTTATTTTTATTATTTAAAAAATATATTATTTACTGATGCATATAAGAGCTGGGGTTTAGGCCAGAGGTGCAGGGAGGTGAGAAGATTCATGAGAGACAAAAGTGAGGAGCAGAACAGGCCTGTTAACTGAAATACACTGCTGAGGGGAGCAGCGGGAAAGACAGGACAGGTCTGCTGTGCCATGTGGGTCATTTCCTGGCCAGGGATTGAACTTGTGCTGCAGTGGCTGGTATAATTTTATACTGCTGGGACTTAATCACTTGCGCCACCAGGGAGGCCCCTATAGTAGCTTTTTTTTTGTAAGATTTATTTATTTATGTTTACATAACTGGGGTACAGGTCAGAGGTGTGGTGGGTGAGAGGATTCACCAGAGACTGAGTGAGGAGCAGAACGGGCAGATTAACAAAGTACACTGCTGAGGGGAGCAGCGGGCGTGTCAGAAGTCTGCCAAGCCATGTGGGTGAGCTCTGTGGCTGGGTATCAAACTCGTGTGGCAGTGGCTTCAGAGAGCTTCCTAAGGCAGTGCTTTAACCCCTTGCGCCACCAGGGAGAGCCCCCTTATAGAAGCTTTTTAATTGGCTGTTCACTTTCACTGGTTTACCCTATAGTTTATGTAAAACTTTCAGATTAATCTATCTTCTTATTGCTCTTGTGATGATGATGACCATGACGATAATGATGGTGATATAATTTCTCCAGTGCCCAACCTGAAAACACATCTGCCATTCCTGAAGGACACCATCTAAACATCTTTCAAAATATGACCTTTTTATTTTATGATCTTAATGCATATTTTCATCATTTCAGCTTCCCTAAGGATTCTATGTTCATGTAACACAGGAGAATCCATATATCCTTCAGTCCACCTCACGATTCCTTCCTCAGTCTCGTTGCTTAATTAGCTCTCTCTTCCTGGAGTATCTAATTCTCAGACTACTTTTCATCAACCTCTCTGATGGATTATACATCCTATAGTTTTCATGATCTCCAATCCAAGGTGCTTTCTCTCTCTTTTCTGAACTATTGTATGATAGAACTTTATCCCTCTTAACATGGCTCAGCCTGTGTTATAGTTATTTATGGATCTGTCTTATCCCTGCCTTCCTAGACTGCCTGGTTTTGTTTAAGTGTCACTGTAAGCACTATTCACTTTATTCACTGCAGATTATAGTATAGAACCTTTTGATACCAATCAATCAATCTTAATTTATAAAGTTGACAATGTTCTCAGATTCACTGGGAAATCACAATTGTTTACTTGCTTAGCAGCTAAAACCTTGTTCAGGTGTCCTGTACGAGTTTTTCAAAGACCTACTATTAGGACCTGTAAGAAGACAATGGTGCCTTGTTTTTTATTCTCCTTCAAACTCCCTAGAGTACAGACAGTGGTGGAAAAATCCCTTTGAAGAGTACTGAAGTGGAAATAAAGATATTCTGGGCACCATCATTTGTTAATCGGATTTCCTCTGGTAGATGAATGGTCTAGATTAAATGTCTTTAATTTTTCCAGCACTAAAGTTTAATGATTTAAATAATATCATGTTATAATTCAGAAGAAGTAGATGCTCATCTGTTGCACAAAATAGTACAGAAACTAACCTGCTGTCACAAGGCAGTTTCCAGCCAGAAAATTGAGTTTCCCTGTAGGATTTTTCTGTGGACAGAGCCATTACAACTATATTATGCTATTAGGTCACTGTCTCCGCCATGTGATTAAGACATGTCTAAATTCAGAGCACTTCACATAAGCTTCACAGTGCTTCAGTGATTAATATCCAGAGGAAATCAGATTACAAATGTGTTGTTCTGTCATCTTTGATTCTGCTCATTATGACTTATAGTGAATCATGGGATAACATGTATTCTCTATATGCTAGGTCAGAGGTAAATTTCAAAAATAAAAATGATACTTTCTTCCTACTATGCTACTTATTCTTATTTTATAAATAGTTGATGGTAATTTTAAATCTGTCTTAGTATTAAAATACATTAGTTTTAACATACAATGTCATTTTATGAATCATGCATATAAAATAATTTTATTACTAAAAATGCTCCCTAACATAGTAATTACCTGCCTTAAAGGAAAATAGAATTTTAAAACAATAAGGCCTATTTCAAGTTGTTCATAGAACCAGTAATTGTATACTTAAGGCAATTAATGGATTTATTGAATGTTGGTTAAAAGTCGATTGAAATGACATTAAAGAATAAAGTGTAATTTATTTGGTGCTACTTTGTGAAAGTTTTTTGACTACAAATCAATGCACGATACCATATACAATATACTTTCAATCACAACTTAAACATAAAAGAGCCTCCAAAATCACTTGGCTATAATCAATGTACAATGATTATATTTTAAAAACAAAGAAAAAATAGCAATTACTCAAGTTAAGGTGCAGTAACTTTTACAAATAATATATTAGCACCATACCGGATAAACTGATCTAAAACATTAGCTTCCTCATACTTCTTAAATACTAAATATAAACATTTTTTTCAAAGCACAAATATTAATCTGCAAAATCAGTTCTACAGTCGTTAATATTTCTCTCTCTCTCTCTCTCTTTTTTTTTTTTTTTGTATTTTCCCCAGTAAGGAAAAATAGGTTGTAAAAACTTTCACAGGATATGAAAAGCAAACCAATGAGCAAATCTAACCAAACCTATGGCTGTCCCTCAGCAGTGAGTCCCCACAGATGCAAAAGTGGACATTTCCCTGCGTATGGTACTAAAAGGTGAGAGTTCAAGCTCTGTGGTGTACTCGTTGTCATTGTCATCGCTGGTCACTGTCGAAGACTTCTGAATGCACTCATCACAGCAACAACAGCAGCACTCCATAAAGGCCCGGCTGAAGGGTTTGCAAAGACAGAAAAGGAGCACAGGGGTGACACAGGACTTGAAGAACAGCAGGAACTGGCTGATGATATTAAGCAGGTCCATTGTCTGCTGGGAAACCCCTGTGGCCATGTAGGCTGTAACAATATTGCAGATATTTTCTGGAATAATGCAAAAGCCATATAAGATGGTCAGAGCCACTACCGTGCAGTTCATCTGACTTTCTAGCTGAATCTGCCGCTTATTTCCTCGGCTACAGGCTTTTTCTGCTTTGCGGATTTTTCTTGCAGTCACCAAAGAGCAAGTGATGGTGAAAAGTGTGGGCAAGCAGAAGTAACAGCCAAAGTACCACCAGAGCCTTGCACTGTCGTAGGTCAAGGCTAAAACATAGATGGTGTCGGGTAAGTCGGGAGAGATCTTGATGATGCAGCGCTCTGCAGGTGCTCGGCCGCTCACCCCCAGATCCTCCTTGGTCAGCTGGCGGAGAACAACTTCTGGAAGTGCCAAGAGGAGAGCACCTACCCAGATGACAGCTAGTTTGGCGGTGGTTGAGGAACAGTTTTCGATCATTTCATAGTACATCTGAACGTTGGTGGCCGCACGGAAACGGTCGATGCACAGAGCGCATAAGGTGAAGGTCGTGACTCCCAGAGAAGCAACCTGAGGAAGGGGCACAGAATACGTTTATGCTAAATAATATCTGAGAGTTGAAAAAAGTAGCAATAAGCAGATCCACAAAACAGCGAATGCATGTACCCTGACAGCGACAGCTCTGCTCCACGGCAGCTGGATGCAAGTTTGCAAAGATGGAAAACGATTTCCAGTAACTACATGAGTTGGTGACTAGCTTAAATCATTGTTTAAGGATAAAAATGGGGTGGAGGAGGGGACTTAGTGGATCAGGGTAAAGAAGTCAACACTTTATATATGGAAGCATCTGTAAAGATGGGCCAGTCCATTAAGGCTTTGTTGGAGGGTGAATGAAGCATGTGTAGATATAAAAGTGTGTTGTTGTCATCCCAAAGGTATATAGTTGTATAAACAACTGGTGAATGAAATTGGAGGAAAAAGAAGTGTAAATGCAACATTCAAAAAAAGGTCAACTACTCCAAAATTATTTTGTCATAGCCAAGAATACAGAGACCCGGAGATTTCATTCATTAAGAAAATGGTTGCCACTCTGAAATCTACATATGCAGTAAGATTGTGGACTGTACCTCACTTTGATTACTGAAAGATGGTGATGCTCTCCACAGGAGGAAGGAGCAGCAAATATGTTTTACATATACAGATATTCACACTTATTGTTTACAACAAGCCAGATGAGTAGATGTCTATTTCAATTTCTCTGAAGTGCAAAACAAAGTACTTTAATATTACTTTCAAATGCATGTAGTTACATAAAACAAGAAAGGAAAATCTGCATAAGTAACAAATTCCAGACAAATCAGTGACTTTTCCCCCCACTACGCCCCCCCCCCCACACATACAACATTTTGCTGCATGTTTGTGTATGAGTATCTGCCAACCCTGGTGAGAGTTTCCAGTTTGTATTAACTGAAGGCTAGATCAGACGTCTGGGTACACAGAAGGTGTGTGACTGGCAGTCAGATCAACGAACCCCTTATTAGTTTGGGTTTCCTCCAATATTGATTTTAAAAAACAGGAGGGAGGTGAAAGCACAGCACTAAGAAGCTAAAACTACTTCAGCATGAGTTCGATCCCTGCCCTAGAGGTGATCCACATGGTGCAGCAGATCTCTCCTTACCTGCTGGCTGTTCCCTTCAGCAGTGTACTTCATCAGTCGGCCTGTTCTGCTCCCCATTCTATTTTTGATGAATCCTCTCACTGCCCCTGCAACTCTGGACTGTAAACCATTGATAAATAAATCTTTACCAAAAAAAAAAAAAAAAAAAGGATGGAGATAGAGGAAAACTTATCTGAGTTACAGGATTGAGATCTGAGGGAATTAGGAAATTAAGACAATAAAGGAAAAAAAAGAATAGCGAATTTTAACCAGAAACTCAAAAGGACATTTGACTTATGTGAAAATTCACACCATGTGACACATGCCAAGCACACACACACACACACACACACACACAAAATACACTCAGACTCATCCTAGACACTTGAAAGCAAATACCAAATCTCTCCATGGTTCACAGAACTAGAGAAGCCCATGGAGGAATTCCAGGGAACATGAGGTTCACAACTGAAAATCACAATATGCAAGAAACAATCTGCACTATCAGCTAATGTGCCAAAGGAAGTGAGTTACAGAATCAGAAATAAAATATATATGTTTAGCACAAAATAATACTGTTCATCAAATTTAAAGACAATGACAATATAGAATCTCAAAGAAAATCAGAGAAATAAAAAAAATCATGAAAGTATACAGAATGGAGTCAAGTGTAGATACCCCAGTCAAGTCCAGATACCCCAGCCAAAGGAAAATTTGGGATCCAAAACATCTTTGTCACTAGCCATATAGAGCTCTTTATCCAGAGAGGAAATATTCTTATTTGTATATAGTCTAGAAATATAAACAAACTGATAATTAAAGGTTAAAAAGCAAAATTATGTATACACATTTTTTTTTCTACACAGAGGCTTTTCCAGAAATATATGCAAGCGGTATCACTCAATGACCTATACAATATTTACTGAGTATCAGACATTCAGTCTACTGAGGTACCCAGTGTACTGGAATTTGCATCAAGACACTCCTCCGTAATAGGGACACAGAAAGGAACAAGCAGCAGCTGTTTGCCTCCAGGAGATCATGGTCAACAAAGAGAAGGAAGGTAGTTCCCAAAGGCACAGGATAAGCATGGCCCAAGATAAATCAACTGGGAGCATTGTGGGGAGAAATGAAGTAATTTACTGGTTAGCAATTTCATTCATTCAAAAAGTTGCATTTGCATATTTTGAACAAGGAAAATGAATAGAAGGCAAAATGTTCATGGTGTTTAAGATAAGCTATAAATCAAAGCTCACTATGTCAATGGGAGGGTTTGGGCTGTTGCTCAGACACCCAATTATGGTGTTCATTCTCCACTGCCTGCAAGTGGGGATGTTTAAGAAGAACAGCTATAGGTCACTCCTTGGCAAAGAAGCAAGGAAAAGACATATATATTTCTAACATTAATGTCTAATTATTTATAACTCAAGGGATCATGTTGACAAAAGGAAAGCCATTTGTCATAACAATTTTAGCACTCAAAACAGTAGTTGTTTATCTACTACATTCAAGCTGTCACTTTCCCTAGCACTATGGCAACTTGCCCTGTGAATTCTATGAGTTCCAACATCAAATGTTCTCTCCTCTTACACACTACACGTCAGCCAGTGTCTACTGTTCTCTCAGGAAAATAAAGACAGTGAATTCACATTCTGACTTATTCTCATTAGTGGAGATGCTCTCAAAGTGAAAGATAATAAGGGCTAGCTGTGCAGAATGCAGAAATGAAGATAAAATATTCCACCTAAAGGTCTGTATCAGTGCTGATCATGAAGTCACATAAGTTGATAGCCACAACTCCTGGAACTTTCACATAACCACCAGAAATAGAACTATCAATCTAATGATTGACTCCAAAACAGGTATAATTCTTTTAGAATTATCTTTCAATGAATGAATTCACTTTGGTGAAAATTTATTTTGCGCCTATGCTGAAGATACAACATAATTCTAAACGCGAGACCCATATTGTACAACTATGAATAACTTTGGATAAAAGAATGCTTTTTATTGTCAATATTTGCCATTGGCTGGGAATCTGGAAAAACATTTTCTAAAAGTGCGTCAAAGAGAACTATGTGGAAATTATAGCATTTTATGTTATAGGTTTTGAAACTTTACATATATATTAGTTTTTCCAATACATTGATTTATTTGTATAAGAATGTAAAACAAAAAAATAAAACACTCAAACTATCAAATATGCACAAATCCTCAGCAAGGTTTTCTGTGCAGGCTTCACGAAAGCAAACCTTTATGCATATTTCTTTCATTGTGTATCCGAAGTCAATGTACAAGCATAAAGCATGAAAGTTTGTGCTGTGCCTACTTTTTAAATTATGAATAACATTTCTATTGAAAGAAAAACTCTGTGATATAAAATACTAGAGACTCAAGAGAGGCAGTCTACTCAAGGCTTGAAGCATCTACTTGGTTGGCAGTTTTCTGTCACTACCTTCTAGAGAACACCCAACATTCAAGAGATAGCATCTTCTCCATATCTCCAATTTTCAGTCTGGAGATTTAGATGCTGGAGCAACTGTCACAACAGTTGCATTTGCATACTATCTCAAAGTTGGAAAGCATTCAGGAGAGGTAATAGCCTTTGTGAAGATGGGTGTGTGAACAGCATCCCTCTCCTTAGATGGGATCAGCTGTGCTGCACATCCACTTTAATTAGAAGATGTTGACCACTTTGAAAAAAAATAGTTCCAAGTTCTGTATCTTTTATCTTACAAAATAATAAATGTTAGATCAACTTCAAGGTGCACATGTGCTTAAGCTTTACATTCAAATTCTTCCACATTGTATTTTATTTAGAGACGCTGTTTCTCAGGCCACATACTCCAAAGGTTAGTATTGAAAACTTCAAAATTATTTGATCTATAGACCTCTTGACAGATAAGGGAACTTTCCCAACTTTCATCCACAAATTCTAAGAAGTTTCTGCATCTGGCTCCCTGTTTTAAAATTCTTCTCCTCCCTACAGATAATCTCTACAATGCCTTCCCAGTGAAACAAGGCAAATGGTTCAGGAAGCTCACAAGAGCCACAGAGAGCTGTTGAAGAATCCTATGAGGAAGTCACTGCCCCTAAAGCTGAGAGTCTTTTCAGTCAGTTGCCAATAGCAACTGCAGCCGAGGTGTCAGTCTAAGACCTCCCCTATCTGCTCCCTCCTGTGTCACCACTGCAGTGTTATTACTTCAGGTAAGTTTCTGTGAATTCACTTATGCACTAGATTTTATCATGTGAAAGAGTAAGAATAGTACCAACGCCCTTCTCAGTACTTTCCCAGACCATTTATAGAAAGCGTTATTATCTCTAAGGGATTAACGACACACCTCAGAAATTAACTGATAAAAATCATCTGGATAATGGATAGTAGGCTAATTTCTGCTTACTCAGATTGAAATCCATCCATGTAATTAAAGTTTCTAAATGTTGGAGTAACATGAAAAGATTTCTATCACAATGTTTAAATAGATTTGTTTATATAAAGCTTATTAGAAATTCTACCAAAATGAATGGTACAATTATGTGAAATTATAAAACTGTATCATGAAGGCTAGAGTGCCTACATTTAATGACCATATCTGCTGGCCAGAATTCAATATCACTATAAAATATGCTCTTGGAATCTCTTAAGCATTGGCTTATCTGGGGAGTTCTTTGAAGCAACATCATGAGAGATGGAACGAGTAAAATGCAAACTCTTATTAATTAAACCACAATGGGAGGAATAATTACCATCAACAAAAGCAGAATTATAAACACTTTTAATAGCCAAGACAATTAATTTTAAGAATTAAGGTTAGAAGAAATCTGGAAGCAGAAAATTCTAACTATTTAGGAAAACAAGATGCTAGAGCATTTTTTTTTAGTAGATTGATATCAAAGCATAGATACAAGAATC